TGGAACCTACAGGCCAGTACTGTTTATTGTGGGGGCTACTTTGCTACTTGTTATTTGTGGGTGGGCTGCGAGACTAACTTAGGCACTGACCAACAGGAGGTCAGGTGCCTGGTTAGTCTCCCTCCAAAAGGGGAGATATGTTACAAACTGCCATTTGTAACTGTTATTTTATTTGACAAATTGCCCTGCTTCCCTGTGTTATGGAGAAGCCTAATTGCCAGCATTCTGCCCCATGACTATGGACCTAGTGTGTATGGCGATTTGACTGTATTTGTGGGATCTGAGCGCTGTTTGGATATATTGAGCGCTCAGATCCAAGCCATCTGGGGATAGGTTGAATGTGGGGGTTCTGTTCAGTTCAATAGGAGTTATGTATTTTTGTCTTTTTGTGTCTTTTGCTAACATGTGGTTAATGGAGTCTGCCTCTATCCCTGGATAATTGGATTACTTTCCCCATTGTCCAGGATAGAGGCCTCTGTAAAACCGGTTTGGGCCAGAAAACCATGCTGCCAGCCAGGCCCCGAAAGACACTTTTGCTAACTTTTGAACCCCTTGTCTGATTTGTGCCATTTTTTAATATGTTGCTCCCCTTAATGGATTGATTCCAAATATGTAATTTTTATGAAGATTGGATGTGTAGTTTGGAAGTTATAGTACATGTATAAAAACTGTATTTTACTGTTCTGTTTTAATTATGTTATGTGATTATCTGAGGGATGGGAATTTCCCCGAATGTATATTGTTCCGATTGGTTATACTGCTAATTATGTGGGTGTATCCCTTGCATGGGCAGAATCTCATAAAAGCAGAGTGTGTGCCATTAAACATCAGATCTTCTTGACCCTCAATACGTAGCCTTGTCTCGTTATTGGAGGGAACTGCTATATCACACTGGGGATTGCTATGCTCTGCATACTCCCTGAGCTTTTAATCACTTAGCTCTTTTAAGAGCTGTTCCTGTTACGCTCTCCTGGAGGAGAGGTCTTCCCCACACGGTCCTGGAGGACAGAAGCTGATCCAGGGTGGAAGGAAGACAGCGAGACTCCAGTTAAGCTACGGCGGTTGTGGAGTCTGCTGCAGTGTTTGGAGTCCTCAGGAAGCGCTAGGAGCATCCATCAAGAAAGGAGGTGAGAAAGAGAAAGGAGGGTACTCGGTCAGAGTACAGGGAGCTCCGTTACACCCCCCCTCTCCTTTCTCACCCCCCCTCTCCTTTCTCTTTCTCTCCCCCTCCTTTCTCTTTCTCACCTCCTTTCTCACCCCCCCTTTCTCCTCTTTCTCACCCCATCTCTCACACCCCTTTCTCCTTTTTCACCCCCTCTCTCCTCTTTTTCACCCCCCCTCCTTTTTCACCCCCCCTCTCCTTTTTCACCCCCCCTTTCTCCTCTTTCACCCCCCTCTCTCACCCCCCCTTTCTCCTTTTTCACCCCCTCTCTCCTCTTTTCACCCCCCCTCCTTTTTCACCCCCTTTCTCCTCTTTCCACCCCTCTCACCCCTTTTCTCCTTTTCACCCTGCTTTGCTCCTCACCCCTTCTTTCTCTCTCACCCCTTTCTCCTCTTTCTCACCCCCACCTTTGCTGTAGCCAGGTGGCGGGGCCGGTATAGTCCCGGCGGTGCAGAGGCAGCTGTCTCTGTACCGGCCCGGGACTAACAGGAGAGATGCACTCGGTGTGCGCACTTCCTGTAAGTCTTGCGGGTACAGAGATCAGCTGTCTCCTGTACCCGTCGGACTATCAATGCTGCCGGGCTCGGCCACGCTACTACAGAGGGAGTGACAGGAGGGAGCGCTGAACGCTTCCCTCCTGTCAGCCCCTCTCCCCATGCTGCGCCCGGGCGGTGCGGTCCGCCCTCATGGACGCACCGCCCGGGCAAAGCTGCAGCCGCCTGAGGCTCTCTACAGAGCGCTCGGGCGGCTGCAGCATGGGGGGGGCGGGGGGTGCCCACCCTGCTGGCACCCGGGGCGGACCGCCCCCCCCTTAGTACACCACTGACTGTAGGGTATATTGCTGAAAAGCTTGCTGGTCATGATAGAAAGATGTCAAAATACACAGTGTATTGCAGTTTTCTGTGTATAGAGCTGTGTAGCCACAGACCAGTCAGAGTGCCCATGACGACCCCTACCCACCACTGAAAGTACCTTCAATGGGGATGTAAGCATCAGAACAGGACCATGGCGTAATGGAAGAATGTTGCCTGGTCTGAGAATCACATTTTCTTTTAGATCGGGAGAATGGCCTGGTGCTTGTGCATCGTTTACCTGGGAAGAGAGTCATGCTATGGGCAACCTTGGGTCCTGGCATTCATGTGGATGTTACTTTGACATGTACCATCTGCCTAGAGATTATTTCAGACCACGTACACTCTTTCATGGCAATGGCATTTCCTGATGACAGTGGGCTCTTTTAGCAGAATAATGCATCACGATACACTGCCAAAATTGTTCAGAAGTGACTTGAGGAATATGACAAAGAGGACAAAGTGTTGCTTTTGCCTCCAAATTCTCCAGGTCCCAATCTGATTAAGCATCTGTGGGATATGCCGGAATAACAAATCCAATCCAGGCAGGCCCTACCTCGCAACTTGCTGGACTTAAAGAATTTGCTGCTAGTGTCTTTTGCCAGATACCACAGGACACGTGGTATCACTTGTGGAGTCCATTCCTCAATGCATCAGAGCTCTTTTGGCAGCACGAGGGGGACTTAAACAATATTGGGCATGTGGTTTTAATGGTGCTGCTGATCAGTGTATGAATATTGTATCAGTGCACTAATACAGTTTGGTGCTTGATTGAGTACATAAAACATCAGCATATAAATAATTCACTCCATGATTGGAATATAGTGTGTCAATGAAATGTACTTATGTGAGTATGTAATGTACCAATGCATGAATGTAATACAGCAATGCATAAATTGTGTCAGTGCATCAGTGTTGTGGACTTCCTCAGGTCTCAGATAATACAGGAAGACACTCCAAACACAGGTCGTTGGAAGAACAAAGCTGTTTATTTATTTGCAGCTGCAAAGTCCCAGTGTCTTCTGATATACACGATACACACTGGGCCCTCAGCAACAAGAGAACAAAGAATATATACCATAAATTACGTATTCCATACATATATAGAAAATACAAAATCACACCCATATTACAATGATTATCATCCAATTATTAGGTTAACACTTATCTCTTACATATATTAACTACTGGTAGGCATTCCCAGCATTCCTCACATGTGCCCTGGTCCTAGATTTTTACATAGTAGTTATAACCATGTCAGTACCAGAGGTTTTTCTAAAGCATTCTGTAACTTCTACCACAGTATGAGAAGGCATGACTATTGATTCAATGCGCATTTTTTAAATTTTTTATATTCTTTATTTTTGTTATGCAAAGAGGTTTACATACAGGTCTACTGTGCCACAACAGCAGCAGGCAACTCTAGGCATTCCATAACATGACATATACTCAAAATGCACGATTTTGCTATGCAACAATATTGATTCTAGTCTCGCTATAGGGCGAGTGAAGTTACCGTATATACTCGAGTATAAGACAAGTTTTTCAGCACATTTTTTGTGCTGAAAAACCCCCACTCGTCTTATACTCGAGTCAGTGTCTGTATCCGCCGGGCTCATTACAAGCCCGGCGGTCCTGTTGGGGGTTGGCAGCGAGCTGTAACTTACCTTTCCTGCAGCTCCCTTCTTTCTCCTCCAGTCCGGTCAGCTCCCCTGTCAGCTCCCACTGTAAGTCTTGTGAGAGCCGCGGGGTCAGAGCGTTGCCACGGATTACCGTGGCAACACTCCGCGAGGCACTCAGACCGCGAGACTTACAGTGGAGCTGACAGGGGAGCTGACCGGACCGGAGGAGAGAGAAGGGAGCTGACAGGAGCTGAAGGAAAGGTAAGTAAACGCTTCCTGCCAGCCCCCTCCTACACAGTGCACACCACTGGACCACCAGAGAATGAGAGCCCCCCCCCCCTCCCTGGTCAGCTAACAAGCAGGGAGGGGGCACGAAAAAATATAAATAAATACAAATTTAAATAATAATAAAATAAAATATGAATAATATATATATTAAAAAATGTAATAAAAATGCCCACCCCCCACCAAGGCTCTGCATCACACACACAAACACACACTGCATTCATACACACACACTGCACTCATACATACACACACTGCACTCACACACACACACACTGCACTTACACACACACTGCACTCATACACACACACACTGCATTCATAGACACACACACTGCACTCATACACACACACTACATTATATACACACACACACTGCATTCATTATATACACACACTGTAAATAAATATTCAATTAATATAATTTTTGGGGGATATAATTTTATTTAGAAATTTATCAGTAGCTGCTGCATTTCCCACCCTAGTCTTATACTCGAGTCAATAAGTTTTCCCAGTTTTTTTGGGTACACACACACACCGCATTCATACAAACACACTGCATTATTTACACACACAAACTGCATTCATACACACACACTGCATTCATACACACACACACTGCACTCATACACACACTGCATTATATACACACACACACTGCATTCATTATATACACACACTGTAAATAAATATTCAATTAATATAATTTTTGGGGGATATAATTTTATTTAGAAATTTTGAAATTTTATTTAGAAAGTTTTTTTGGGTAAAATTAGAGGTCTCGACTTATATTCAGGTCAACTTATACTCGAGTATATATGGTAGGTAGTAGTGATGGACGGTTCAGGATATGGTAATAATGTTTTAAACTAAAAATGAATAATAAAATAATACATTAATATATTTAAGTAACAAGGCGAAATGCATATCTTTAAGCGACAATATTAACATGCTGAATCCCCCTTTAGGTCTGCATTCCAGGGTCCACTCGACATGTAGTGTGAGCACTTATTTATGGAGAAATGCTGGGGTAGCGCAGGTGTCTCAGTTGGGAGATGTATCTTTAAAACTTAAGTCTGGGATGACTCTGTGAGCAATGCAGTGTGTTTGTCATGGTCCTGCCAATGCACATTTTTAATGTGCAAATGCTTACAAAGTGTTCCCAATCCCTTACTTTCTCATCATTTGTACATGTAGGATTTTCACTTTCCCTGCTCCCTTCTCTTTTACAGCCAAATATCCTTTTGCACTCAATGACATATCAGAGAATATTGAGATTAAGAAGTTGATATTTAGGTAGCATGGTTTCTGCATGGCAAAGCTAGCTTGAGCAATAGTAAGAAAGAAGCAATGATAATTCAGACCTTAGCAATAATGGCTTTCATTAGGGATTTCACAAGAGTCATAGACATTGTCGAAAAACCTTTCTCCACCAGACATTCCAAGGGCATGAACTCAACGTAGTCATTGTCGGCAGAACAGAAGGCCATGGTGTAGCTTTCCCAATTCTGTGCCTTCTTCCCCAGGCATATGATTGGGATTGTAATATACCTGCTTACATTCCACCAGATGTCAAGTCAGGAGGACATCAGCAAAACGTCCTAATTTCATTAGCTGGTATCATGCTTGAGTATGTTTGTGTCTGTACTGAATATTATCTTGTCTTATATTATCTGAGTGTACATGCTTTTGATTCCACCAGATGAACCCAAGTCAGGATGACATCATTAAAACATATCCTCATTTCATTAGTTGGTATTAATGCTTGAGAATGTTTTGTGTCGGTATTGCTATTGTTTGTCACTGCTTCATTTTGCATGCTTCCTTATCTGAGTCGGATAAACTTGTTTATGAACAGAAGATATGATCCCTTTGCTTCCATCACAACTCTGTCTCACATATGCATGAGGATCAAGAACAGAAACGAATAGTGACATGTGGCAGCTAAACAGACCTGTTACTGCTCAACCTAAGCAATCTATGTTGATAGATGATATTAAAGCAGCACTGTCACCCCCCTGATAAATGAGTATTTCATAAATATAAAATCTTTATGAAATACCCGTACTGACTGTATTGGATTTTTACTGAAATTCCAACCCAGTGAAAAGATATACTGAGATATTCTGAGACAAGTTATTTCAGTATACTTCCTATTCCTAACACTTCTAGACTCTGGGCGAGCTACTGTCTATTACTTTTTATTATTGTTGGTATTTATATAGTGCCAACATATTCCGTAATGCTTTACAATATTATAAGAGGGGGAAATTTAACAATAAATGATACAATTACAAAATGTTACAGGAACAATCGGTTCATGAGGACCCTGTTCAAACAAGCTGACAGTCTAGAAGAGGTGGAGTATAAAACACAATAGGACAGGATATAGCAATCAAAGAAAGTGGAAGTGAGGCACAACAGGAGAAGAGTACAGTGCTGTCCTTTAGGAGAGAGCAGGGGACCGGTATGTGAGGTACAGGTTACTCTTGGAGGCCATAAACTTTCCTGAACAGATGGGTTTTGAGGCAGTTTTTAAATTATTGAAGATTAGGCAATTCCAAAAAAAAGGAGCTGCCCGCGATAAGTCCTGCAAGCTTTAGTTAGCCATATGGGTGCGAGCTGCGGAGCGACCGAGAAGGGGCATACTTGTGAATCAGTGAGGAGATATAAGAGGGGCTAGAGTTGTTCAGTGCTTTATAGGTAAGGATTAGTATTTTGAATTGACTTGTATAGGATACATGAAGCCATTTTAAGGATTGAGAGAGGGGTGAGGTGTGAGGAGCGACTGGAGAGGAAAATCAGTTTGGCACAACATTCATTACAGACTGTAGTGGGGCAGTACTGCTTCTGGGAAGACCAATTAGGAAGGAATTAGAATAGTCAATGCAAGAGATTACTAGAGCATGAACAAGCATATTGAGTAAGAAATGGGCGTAGGCTGGTGGAATCGACATGATTTGGCAACAGACTGGGTGTGAGGCTCAAAGGTGAGACCAGAATCAAACATAATACCAAGACAGCATGCTTGCAAGGATTGATGCGGGTACCATCTTCTTGAAGAGAGAGAGAAAGAGGAGGATCAGTTTTATGAGGAGGAAAGACAAGAAGAAAAGTTTTATAGAGATTTAGTTTCAATTTTAGATTAAGTCTAGAAGTGTCAATCTCCTAGCCTTCACCAGTGATGGCTGCAGAGATATTAGCTGTGTATATGGAGGATAGACCTCGATTTTGTACTCTCAAGCAGCAGACCACCAGTGACAATTTCACCATGAGGGGTCCTTGCAAATTATGCAAAATCCCCAGATGATAACATCACTGCTTTAACCCCTTAAGGACCAAACTTCTGGAATAAAAGGGAATAATGACATGTCTCTGTTTGCTACGCACAACGGGACTGTTCACACACTTGAATCTGGGGTGGATATACCCACTTTCCTGGCATCACTAGGCATAGAGGGACAGACTGAAAGAACATCACAGGCCAAGCCATACAATGTCTGGGACCCAGCTATCACAACCACATTCACACCGAGAGCCACCACGTCCAGGGAACTGGAACCCTGGCAGGACTGAGCACTAAATGTCTTGATACAACTTGAGAAGGCAGCCGAACACCCTTGCAGAGTCCTACTGTTTATAATGTGTTTAACGTTTATGTCTGTGTCTTTAAATTGCACTATGGCTAGCCACGAAAACCCAAAAACTGGGTCAACAATACCACGAACTGAGATGGCGACCCCCCCCCACCCATAACCCCCACTGACACCCCTCTCAGTCGCGGGCGAACCACACCCTCACTCTCCTCCCTTTGGCAAAGGAAGATATACACTAGTCTAAAGGTGTGGGACTTATTAACCCATCTGACGTTCACTAGGCTACCCTGTTATCACACACCCTGGTATTCAGCTAAGTATAGAGCCTACTCAGTCAGATGATATATGCGCTCCACACATAGAGAAACATTATACACAACACCTCCAAACCCTTAAGCAACAATCCACACTCTCTACAAGATCACTACATGGCACCTTTACTGGATTTCCGCAGCCTGCATTAACTTAAGCTGACAGAAAGCTTAAAACCCCTCTCCATCCGCCTAGACCTCCTCAGACAAAACACTACTATACGCCATCTCAACCTAGGCATACCTGTCTAACAAATATGATCTATATACAATGAGAGTAAAAAAATAAAACCCAATAACAAAACAACAACAAAAATAATCCATTAGGAATACAGTACATCCACAGGAAAAGTGTCGCTGGAGCAAGAAGGCTAGTCTTCAGAAGGAAGTTGTGGGGGCACAAACCCTTCAGGATTTTTCCAGGGACATGGGAGGACCGTCAGAAATCCCATATGTGTTCCTGAAGTTGTAAGTAGTCAGGAGGGTGGCGGTGGCGTTGGGGACGACCACCAGCTGTCAAGTGTCAGAGGCAGCAGGACTGGAAAAAGGGGAGGGTGCTTGGTTCAAGATTGGGAAAATGGGGTCAGGTGCATGAGCACCCTCAGACCCAGAAGCACAGGCCACACCTGTAGGTGCATTCACATTTTCAGAGTCAACCCAAACTCCATCCCAGATGTCCTCTGTCACACTGGATTTGGACTTAGTAAGCTTTTGGGTGAAGGATTTGGGTAACCGTAAACGGGACCCTAACTGGTCTAGCTGTCATCTGGAAATGGAACCATCATCCCAAAGTTTCCACAATTGTGGCAGGAAGCCACAGAGTGTTGGAGGATCCGTAAGATCGGATCCAGACCTCTTGATGGACTCCAAAAGTAGGAGACTCTTTGGAGGTGACCATCTTTTCTTAGGAGTGCAATACATGGTTATTGGAATGACCTCAGGCCATTTCGAATGGGCGTCAGTTATAATCAAGAAGGTCTGCCCTTTTATCGGACCTGCAAAATCCAAGTGAAAGTGAAACCAAGGAACTGTGGGCCAAGTCCAGGGTTGAATACTTCCTCGGGGAGGGTCTCTTGCAGTTTGTGCACATCCTACACAAGCATTAACATATGCTGTAATCTCACCATCTATGTTAGGCCACCACATGTAGCCTTGTACTTTCTGTTTCATCCGTGTTGTACCAGGGTGTGGCGGTCTGCCAGAGTATCACCGCCAAGGATGCCCTTTTCCCAATAAACAAACACAAGTAATCCCAAAGGTAAAATATCGCCAATGTCCCATAACCACCCACACATGAGCCAAGGCTTAATGCTGGGAGAAGACTGCTTTATTTGGAGCCACACACAGCTTTTTATGCAAAAGCCCCAACAAGGGGTTTCTAAGAAATAAATCCCTCCCATGATCCTCGTAACTGACCTCCCTAGTTATTAGCTTCCGGCTCAAATAGGCAACTGGGTGCTTGCCTCCGTCCTCGCCGACCTGGCTCAGAACTGCCCCCTGTTCAAACATTGAAGCATCTGTGTGGACAGTAAAGCGTTTGTTAGGATCTGGGACAACCAGAACAGGTGCTTTCACAAGTGCTTGTTTCAGGGATTAGAAAGCCACCTCACATTCCGGGGACCACAGGACCTGTCTCAGTAAGTTTTTTTTAGTCAGGTGGTCAGGGATTTGGCCATAGCCCTATATTTGGGTACAAAGCATCTATAGTAGCCTGCTGTCCCTAAGAAGGCCATGACTTGGGTCTTGGTATGGGGAGTGGGCCAGTTAGCAACAGCCTCAATCTTAGCAGGCTCTGGCCGTACAAGCATACATGAGCCCAATAGTTTATGTTTGGAGACCTCAAAAGTTTGTTGGCATTCTACTGACCACTCTCATCTGGAGTTACATAGTTGAAAAGAGACTTGTGTCCATCAAGTTCAGCCTTCCTCACATATGTTTTTGCTGTTGATCCAAAAGAAGGCAAAAAAAACTAGTCTGAAGCACTTCCAATTTTGCAACAAACTAGGAAAGAATTCCTTCTTGACTCCAAAACAGCAGTCAGATGTCTGGATCAAGCAGCTATTACCCCACTAATTAGAAAATATATACCTGTGTCTTAAGTTTTTGCAAATATTTATCCAATTGCAGTTTACACATCTGTATGGACTCTGATAAAACCACCTCTCCAGGCAGAGAATTCCATATCCTTATTGCTCTTACCGTAAAAAAATATTTTCTTTGCCTTAGATAAAATCTCCTTTCTTCCAGACTAAATGTGTGATCTCGTCTCCTATGTATAGCCCTGCTTATGAATAGATTTCCAGATAATGGTTTGTACTGGCCTCTAATATATTTGGATAATGTTATCATATGCCCTCGGAGGCGTCGTTTTTCCAAACTAAAGAGATTTAAATTTTTTAACCTTTCTTCGTAACTAAAATGCTCCATTCCTTTTTTCAATTTTGTAGCTCATCTCTGTATTTTTTCTAGTGCCATTATATCCTTCTTTAGAACAGGTGCCCAAAATTAAAAATTGCACAGCATATTCAAGGTGTGGTCTTACCAGCGATTTATAAAGAGTCAAAATTATGTTTTCATCCCGAGAATTTATGCCCCTATTTATACATGACAAAACTTTACTGGCCTTAGCAACTGCAGATTGACATTGCATATTGCTGCCTAATTTGTTGTCTATTACAATTCCCAAATCCTTCTTGTGTGTGGTTATCCCTAATTCACTACCATTTAGGGTATAAGTTGCTTGTGCATTCTTGACCCCAAAGTGCATAACTTTGCATTTCTCTACGTTAAATTTCATCTGCCATTTTAGTGCCCAGTCCCCCAATCTATCCAAATCCCTCTGCAGCAAAGCAATATCCTGCTCACATTTTATTACTTTACAAAGTTTTGTGTCATCTGCAAACACTGAAACATGGCTTTCAATGCCTGTTTCAAGATCATTTAAAAATATGTTAAATAGAAGCGGTCCCAGAACAGAACCCTGAGGGACACCACTTACCACTTTTGTCCAGCCTGAAAATTTACCATTAATGACAACTTGTTGCGTTGTACTCTATCCTTAAGCCAATGTTCTACCCAAGAACAAGAATCTAGACCAATTTCTTTTAGTTTGAAGACTAACCAATTTTGGGGAACTGTATCAAATGCCTTGGCAAAATCCAAGTAAATCACATCCACTGCAACCAGGGCCGGTGCAAGGATTTATGCCGCCCTAGGCAAAATAAAAATAAAAACACAAGAATTTAAACTTGTTTAACTCTTTTGCCAAGGATGAAGCCTCGATTCTTGCAAGAGCAGCAAAATTCATATCACCTCCGATTTCAATTAAGGTGTCATACACTTCTCCAACATGGAACCTAAATGGCCGAATAGCATCAATTCTGCTTGACCATCTAGTATCGGATAGCGGCTTAACTGTCAGCTTACTCACATGCTTTTTTAGAACATCCCATCGATTTGTTGAACCTGATAAAAAAACATATATTTTCTGAAGAATGCCAAAAAATGTACTGGCATCCCTACAGCACATAGCAGCATCATTTACTACAAGATTTAATGAATGAGCACTGCAGGGGACATAGAAAGCACGTGAGTTCAGGTCCATGATTCTTTTTTGTACTCCTGAGTGCTTTCCCTTCATGTTGGAGCCATTATCATACCCTTGACCTCTCATATCACTGAGTGGTATCTTCAGCATTTCAAGCTCATTCAAAATTGCCTCTGTTAATCCTTCTCCAGATGAGTTGTGAACTGGCAGGAAACCAAGAAATCTTTCCTCAATGTGTATTTCAGGATTTGCAGTTGGCGAGTCTCCTTGCTTAACAGATACAAACCTGAAAACCATAGTCATCTGTTCAACAAGAGTGATGTCAGGGGTGCAGTCAAGTATAATGGAATAGTACTTGGCATCCTTAAGCAACCGTAGAATGCGTCTCCGTATTTCTTTTGAAATTAAACCAATTAGTTCATTTTGGATGTCTTTTCCTAAATAATGCTGATGAATTTCTGAATTCTGTATCTTTTTCAAGTGGCTTTGCATCACACTATCAAATGTTGCCATCATTTCGACAAGTTTCAAGTAATTTCCATTATTTTCAGAGTACAGCGTGCCACTGCTGCCCCTGAAGGCCAAGCACTGCTTCCCAAGATATTGAACAATGGCTACAAGCCGCTGAAGAACATTCTGCCAGTGCTGCGTTTCAGTTGCCAATAATCTTTGGTATGAATGGTCAATACTACTTCCAGACCCAAGCCTTGTTAACAGTTCTGTCCAGTTTCCCATAGCAGTGAGGTGAGATGGAGACACTTCATGTGTAGCCTGACACTGGGACAAATTTTTCCAATCATTGTAGCCTCCCGTAGTCAGGCTCATTTTCGTAGTTGTAAAGAGTTTACAACAAAAGCAAAATATTTTGTCCAGTCTAGGAGAATAACTAAGCCTCTTTCTAACATGCACTTCACCATTTCCAAGGTGCCGTCTATAGTGGGTTGATGTAAACCGTCTCTTGGATGCATCTTTAGGAAATGCAAAGTGCTCTTTTGGCTTTGCCGGACCTTTCAGAACGATGGTTTCTTTTAGTGAGCTAGTAAGCATTTCAGGCCAGTCAGCTGGATCAAAGAGGTCTGCCAGCGTGCTTTTTGCATTTTCATCTTCTGATGATGATGATGATGATAACTCTCTTCCTCGGTGTTTGTATCACTTTCTATGCCCAACGAATGTTCGCCCACAGTAGTAGTTGAAGTAGAAGGGTGTGGTTCGACATCTACAGCTTCACGATTCTCTTTAGTCTCGCTTACAGCTTTCAGTACTGGATCAGGTTTAAAGAACCTATTTAATGATCCAGCCATCTTAGAAGTTTCTTCTTCTTGGAGCCTTCTTTTCTTTCGAAAAGCAGCACCAGACAATTTCTTTCGTGGTGTAGACATCTTGTTCAATTATCAAAAAAACTATTGTAGAAAAAATGTACATAAAAAATTATTAATATTCAATTAATATTCTCTTTGATGATCATTAAACCACAATAATACCTGAAAATCATTTAGAAACCTACTGTACATATGTGCGCACGTGTGGGAGTGTGAAAGATGCAAAAATATATGGGTATGTATGAGAGCAGTTGATGTAAACATGAAGAATAAAAAATGGAGAGGGCAAGTGAGAGCTAGCACCCCCCATGCACAGACACACAATCATACAGCGTCACAACATAATTACACAATTACACACAGTCACAAACATTCACCTACAGTCATACATGGTCAGTCACATTACAAAGTAATTCAATCTTCTATCTGGGTCCATGCAACAAAATGAAATGGGTAGTTACTGTGTGTACCCCCTTTGAACTATTGCTATCGCCCCTTGTTGGCACGCTACTGAAGTGACCATGTTTCATCCTCAAAATACAGATTAGGGAACAGTGCCCAAAATAAATCCAGTTTTAAATTTTATGAAGCTACTTAAAATCACCACTACTAGCAAAAAAAAAATTGGTATTCAGTTACACCATATGGCGATATCCATCACTATGTTACAGTTCCCCAATATCCCCATTCCCCCCCCACCATTTGGCTACTGTGACATTCACTTTGATTCCCAAAAATTCACACTTTTAGAAATGAACCTAATAAAACATAGTTCAATTTGTACATTTCATTAAAGAGACATTTTTTATGAACCATTACCACTACATAGCATAGTGGTCTGACATGACATCGCCCACCATGTAAGTAGTCAAACCGTATTAGAGCAGTTTGACTTCTTACCTTACATGGCCCTACCTTCACTACATCAGCCAAAAGCCAGAAGATCTCTGCATTACGCAAGAGTGGGCACGGTTTATGTAGTGGAGGTGGAGAGCAGCTTAAAGGAACACTATATCGTCAGGAACATTATACACCTGTATCCTGTTACATTAGAGCACCCCCCCCCCCCAACCTCTGTGTGTGGTCATAAAGCGATATTACGTTTTTCCCCCACACAGATCATTAACCTTTGCATTGGGAGGCTATTGTGCCTGTGCAGCAAAACACTGCACCAAAAAGCATCTCCTCATACAGATGCAATGAATCAATGCAACTATATATGAACGTTAAAGGGACTCTCCAGTGCCAGGAAAACATATTAGTTTCCCTGGCACTGCAGGACCCTGTAGTACCCCTCTCCCTCCCACCCCAAGTTGCTGACCGGAGTCCAGCGCCGAGGGGCAGACTCTGCCTACTCTCCTCCCTCGCCAACGTCAGCCAGTGGGGGAGACCTAATGCGCATGAACGGCAATGGCCACGCACGCGCATTAGACCTCCACATAGGGATTTCGGCGACGCTGGAGGCCCTCACAGAGTCGTAAAACACACTTTTCGTGTTATAAGAACATGGAAGTCCCTCAAGGGTCAAGGGTAGTGGGAGTTGGCACAAGTGGTCTGGGTGCC